TGCGGTCCAGAGTTTTGCAAATATCTCAGCAACGTTGTGGTTGTATTTCGCTTAGTAACCTTCCATGAAAATTATAGAAGGCAGAAAACAAAACGTTAAACAATGTGGTTAATGTTGGATACGAAACAACGAATGAAGGAAGTGCTGCGATTCGCATAATAGAGGAAGTCATGTCATATAACAAATCAGAAGTGAATGCTTAACAGCCGTCATCACTTTATAATCTCTTATTTCTTGCCAGATACGTCCTCTACTTTGAAATTCCGAGCCGACACTCACCACACACATCAATAACCACCTGTTTATTCACAATCTTAACCGTTTTATTTACTACCTAGTCTTTTTAATAGCAGGGTATATTGCAAAACATAACTTCAACGATGCTGAGATATTTTGAAAACTCAGGATCGCAGGTGCCTGCGGTGAGAAACGAGCACGCTATTGTTCTTTCCGGTGATTAACGCGTTCACCACCACACCATGCGGGTCCATCGTTTCGCCTGTCTTTCAGCTAATTCTATCGATCTTTTGCCATCAGCAATCCCCCGTCAACGAGATTGATCTGGGGAGCTCAAATCTTTGTGCAGTAATCTTTCAGCATCATTGAAGTTATATTTCGTAACACACCCAGCCATTAAAAAGAGTAGGCAGTAAATAAAACGGTTAAGATTGTGATTATAGCTAAAGTCTCAGCTTAACTCGGTTCAATGCCGATTTGGGCTTTCCACATCAATCCCGTTGACGGGTGATTGCTGATGGCAGTGATCGGTAGAACTAGCTGAGAGACAGGCGGAACGAATGACCCGCATGGTGTGGTGATGAACGCGTTACTCCCCGGAAAGGACAATAGCGCGTTCGTTTCCCACCGCAGAGAGTCCGGGTCCGGAGTTTTGCAAATATCTCAGCATCATTAAAGTTACATTTGTTTATTGCTACACAGTGAGAAAGTACTGTGACCATAAGTGAAACATGATTATCCGCTTACGCTCTCGAAGATACATTTACTGTACTTTTCCTGTAAATAAGGTAAGCTTCCAGGCACAACCTCGATTTTCTGATTTCTATCGAAGAAATGTTTACAACTATGAAGCAGACATATAAAATAAATCCAATAAACACTGTAAATGGCCAGGTTATGAGTTGCAACGACAACTTTTGCTTAACATTCTGCAATGTTGTTCCTTGCCTAGCTGCTTAAATCTAACATTTTTGAGTTACAAAGCGCATAAATATTCTAGCACAAAAAAAATCGTAAATATAGTACTAGTGCAAGTTTTTATATCGGTTAAAACAAATGCAAAGAACAAAAAATGAAGTGTTCTGGTGGCTTCAGGCTGTTTCCCACACTTCTCTGATGGCGGTGCCGTCATTACGATGCAGCCGAACAGTACTGAATACGGCACCAACGGAATAGAAAAATGGGCGGACAATGTAGATGAGGCATAAAGGCCAAATAGTTATCAGTTGGCCCAACACCATGCGTACCAACACTAGCAGAGGCTAAAATAAAATAGATTTTTGTAAAAGTGCTGATTAAAATGGGTATGTCTTGATTCGTAGGTAGGCTAACGCTAGCTTTTTATAAAAATTTATTTGGCCTGACTGTCCACAACCACTCATTCTTGCAATGTTAGTATCCGTAGGCACATCCAATGGAATTCAGTGCAGTGTAGCACCGTTTGAATAAATTAATCTTACTCGGCCTCGGCCTTTTATTAAAGATGTTCTTGGCTGATTGTCCACTGAAGATTACTTGCTTTCGTGAACGTAGTGGGAAGAATGACTAACTGGGGACAATCAACAAGAATCGTTACGACTTGGAAGAAGGCTAGGGCGACGAAATGTTAGTTACAAAAAGGTTTGTAGTAAGCTCATGGCAAGCTTATAAATAAAGAAATGTGTTGATTATTTATGCCGAGGTCGAATTAAAGACGGTTTACAAAATGGCTAGCTTTCATCGGATTCCAGCTTTATACATAGAATAGAAGCTGAAACTAACTTTATAACTCGAAAGACCGACTTTCTATAAACCTCGACATAGATAGTTGATATATTTATTTATGTGATCTTATAAACTGATCTTCTTAAGCAGACGCGAGGTTGGTATAGATCTTCGTTGTCGTTGTCGTTGTTTTTGATGTTATTGATCGATGGCTGACGTTTCGGCGACTTCGCTTTCCTCAGAGTCTGGACGTACTTTATGTTAGAATACTTTTTATTATTCGGTGGAAAAGAAAGTTGAAGTATTAATGAAGATCAAACTTTCAAATAGACGCCATATTGAACAGAAAGGCCACTCACCGTGATGTTACGTGCGGCACTGGCCCACACGTAGTTCACGTGGAGTCGCGAGCAAGACACTCCCCGGGGTCAAAATATCATTTTGAAATAGGGCGCCAGGTCACGCGTGATAGTGAGGCATTCGTCCTTCCGGTTCATCTTTGGATTTTTGAAATTTATCCAAAACGCCTCAAGAGTTTTGCGCGTTGATGTTTTTGATTCCTGCGCTAGGATCCGCACAGTCACTTCAAAATCATCGCCGTTTTGCTTTTGTGCCCTATGCGTACCTAGAGAGGTGTTTAAACGGATTTTAGCTTTTCCATCTAGATGTTCTTTTATGCGGGCACAAAGTGGTCTGCCCGTTTCCCCAATATATTCCTCGCCGCATGCATTACATGAGATCAAGTATATCATACCTAAACTCATGCAATCCCCGTCTCTCCCGTTAGGACAGATCATACAGTTTTCTGAGCTGCACAAACGATCATAGACTCCACGTTAACTACGTGTGGGCCATTCCCGCACGTAACATCACGGTGAGTGGCCTTTCTGTTTAATATGGCGTCTATTTGAAAGTTTGATCTTCATCAACACTTTAACCTTCTTTCCCACCGAATAATAAAAAGTATTCTAACATAAAGTACGTCCAGGCTCTGAGGAAAGCGAAGTCGCCGAAACGTCAGCCATCGAGCAATAACATCAAAGACAACGACAACGACAACGAAGATCTGTACCAACCTCGCGTTTGCTTAAGAAGATCATTTTATAAGATCACATAAATAAATAACTTTATAACTGCTAAGCCTCAGAAGAAGGCCTTACTCTAAAATTTTCCCGAAAATAGAGAAGATAATTATTCATTTCATGTAATTAATAATCATTGAGTCTTAGTATCGACGTAAGATGACTGGCCTGCACAATCCATATCCTGAGAAACGAGAATAGTGCGAAAACGAGTCCAGCAAGGAAAGAGACAGGAAGTGCAAGAATTAGTGTAAGAATCTTGTAGCCGTAAATTCTCGTCAGCTCGAACACCTATACTGTATTCATTGCCCATACATTTATTACAGACATTAAAAAGATGTAGAAACTTCAAGCGACAAAAACAAACCAGTATTTCTTAACTAAATTATGGTAAGAGAGAATACGAATAATATTTTAGAGACCTCGTACATCATTTTATGCAAAACGCACGAGGATTCAGTGATTCACTCTTTCTAGTCCAATTAATTTCACTGTGCTGAGGTTAGTGTTGGGATTTTTTGAAGATATAAGCCAGTAAATCAATAATTTAATAGCACTGTTGTCGAGTTCACGAAGAGCCTCATCACATAAAGGATAAAGCATTCGGCGTTGGTCAATTGCACCATGTACTCGGCTGCATTCGTAGTGCTCTGCCGATTTGTCGGGTCAATGCTACTATCCTCCCAGACAATTACAGACTATGCAAAATCAACCACAGTTATGCAGTGATAGTTGCAAAACTCCGGACGACAGGTGTCTGCAATGGGGATCGAACGCGATATTAGCTTTGTGGGAGCCAACGCTGTCACCACCACACCATGCGCGTCCATCGTTTCGCCTTTCTCCTAGCTAGTTTTCTACCTACCTGTCCCATCCAGAAATCACTCGTCAACGGGATTGATCTGGAGAGCCCAAATCGACAATGAACCTGTAGCTATGCTTTCAATTTGCCGACAACAGAGTGGGAGTTTTAGTACAGAGTGATGAATCGAACTGGTGATCAACTTTCCTGTTTACTGCAGGGCATCTCCAACCACTGCAGTGCACCCAACACATATTCGTTAAAAATAATAACTATTTCAGTTTTATTACTGTAGAGTGATTATGGACAATGATGGTTAATGGCAGTCTTGGAGGTATCTATGTAACTCTGGGGTTGAGTCTATCGCAGTTGCACGTTCTCCTGACGACTTCCGATAAGTTTCTTCGTCTAAATGTATTTCACAGCCACACTGGCTTCTAAAACTTTAAGAAAAAACCTGGATTCGTTACGGTGTTGCCCCGTACATCGCATGATGCCACTTCGTTATATGCGCTGTGCAGTGTAAGCATTAATGCACCTTATAGAACAAAGCATCGCCAGTTCAAATTCAGCCCTAAGTTTCTCTCGATCCTTTCGACAATATTTAGTTTTAGGTTTAAATTGTTGATCGCAAACCACCTCGCAGAAGTGTAGTCTACATGCACATGCATTACTAAAGTCAACGAAATCACGTAGGTTAGAACTATGCATAAAAATACCAAAAAAATTAAAGCTCAATTTTCTATGGTTATCAAGAATTAGGTTGATTTCAGGAAAATCAGTTTGGTACTTAAATATTGGCCTTTAAGTTGTTTTAAAGTTTCATATGCACCTTTATGCAAAATTTCCCTCTCAATCAAACAATTTCTGTAATAATACAGGGTGGAGGCACGTCTAGCGAAGAGCTTCCCGCAACGCACTGGTTAGAGGTGCCCTGCAACACATAAATGTTCGGAGGTTCGATCATGTACTTCGGTTCACCAAGCCTTCCATCACTTCAGAGTCGGAAAATTGGTGCCAGACTTGTCTGGGAGGATAGCAGCACTGACTCGATAAGCCGGTAGGCAACCCCGGGTCACTTGCATTCACCAAATATGCGGAATGAATAAAAAGGCATTACATTATAAGTATGCATTTAATGGACTAGTTAGAGGTGCCCTGGAATACGCCGTCGTAGATTCAACCCCGCGTTCGTTACGGCATTCCTTTGTTTTTAAGCGACGCAACATTTCTTTTCTATTAGATGATTAAACCGAATATGATACAAAGAAGGTGATTATCTTGTCTGATCCCAAAAATAAATTGACACCGACGTCTAATAGACCTTCTTCCTATAAGGATGAAAATTATCAGTGTAAGCAGTTACCTTTGAAGTGAATAAAAGGTTATTATAGAAGATTCTCCTCCTCAGAGGTGGAGATCTTTCTTCTCAAAAGGAACTTTCGTTAAAGAAGAGAATAACAGAAAGTAATCCCATAAAAAGATCTCCATTGCTATTACGATATTTCCCGATTTTGCACTTCTGTTCTTGTGCGTTTTTGTCTTCTCACTGATTTCGCCTTTAACAAATTTGTAGATGAAGTCCCCGTAATGGATGAGTTTCGGCAGGCCCTCATAAAATATATCGAGTCCTGTGCTATCATCTTTCGATGTCGATTATGTTGAAGCACAGCATTTAGTGTTGATGACTTTCTTCTAAAAATGCACGAGGATCAATCACCCAGCGGAGGTCAATCCGTAAATGATGCCCGGCATTCTGCTTCATAAAACATCGTCAGAGATTATTGAACACATATCCGGCTAAACAATTACTTTGTGGTGACCTAGATGTATGAATTCAGTGCTACTATCCTTTCAGAGAAGTCTGGTACCGATTTTCCGACTCTGGAGGAATGGAAGATTTAGTGAACCTGGGGTCCGTGATTGCACCAGCCATCAACCAGTGTGTGTTGTAGGGCATCTCTCGAACGTGATCGGAACGTAACATTGTTTTCCTTCGGCATGACAATGTTTGCTCGCACTTCGCTAAACTTACTCGTCAAACAACTTTCAGAGTTGAGTTGGAAGTTCTATGCAGTGGCATATTCGCCAGACTTGGCTTGTTTTGATCGCTTTTTGTTGTGATGGTTTAAGAATAATATTCTGACTAAACTACCACCCATCATTTGGGGTTATTGTTCTCAATTAAAGAAAGATAAGTTGGAACTGCATCATAGATAAACGTTCTTAGGCTGGAAAAGTCCTCCAACAAAGCCAATTTATTTTAAGAAACTTGTGTTTGCAAAATTTTCTTTCCAATGCTACACGTGATGAAATCTTATCACAATATTCTTTTATGGCATAGGGAATGAAATCAGTGGACACACCATTTTAACACACATCACCTTATCGTTAAGCAATATTAGAATTAATACTTACTCTGTAACTGCTTGTCCAGACGCAAGCCACACTGTGGTACTGTTCGTCTGGTTCGCCGAAAATATAGAGAAAATTCGTCTAAAATTATGCTTTCGAAATGTGTAATTCTAACCTCCTATGAAAATCAACGATTTGATTTGTCTAAAAGAAGTACGAAGTTTGACAACGAATTCGGAACGTTTAGAAAGTAATAACTAAGAAGACAAAAAAGGAACAATATAGGGCAACCTCTGAAGAACTTGTTGTAAATTAAGAAATAGAACAGCAAAAGAAGAATAACGTACGAAGCTATTCTTGTAATTTTGTTACAGTAGAAAAGTAGAGAAGGGTGGCTAGCATTTCTTAATAAGTACTCTAACCACAACGACCTGAAGATCTGGGTTCAGCTTCTGCTCGTCGCGATCTGCCATGTTCAGCTCAAACATGATCACCTCCTTGTATGCATCAGTATTTAGATCGAATGCCATTTGAGTTTCGGATTTCAGGTTTCTCGTCGGCAACATCGTCACCTATATTAATAGTTCTATTTAGCAGTTATTTATCGCTCAATTGTTATAAATTGCCTGAATTTTAAACAACAAGCAACTGAAAAGCGCACAAAAACACCACCAATGATCGATCGCCGCTCGAGCGATACCGTAATGAAGCAATGAAGATGCGGTTACGGATATTTTGACAGTGAGGTAGATGTGGCTAGTGACAACATTAGTCAGGTAGTGTTAGAACAGGTTTCTTTCGCATGCCTTCTTTTTTTGATCAAAAGTCATTAATTTTTGTTCTTTTTTAATATAAAAATCAGCATATCTCAGTAGGAACTATTATACTAAGCGTTTATTTCTACTTCATTTTCAATTACTGGTTGCTATCCTTTAAATGCTAAAATCTTAGCAACAGTTTGACTCGTTATGCAGTTCTGGTTCTCCGCGGCAGCTTTTTTCGCGCTTAATTTCTACATTTGCTGGTATGTGTCCCTGAACCTCAACAAAAATCTATCGCAAGCCTATTCATTTTCTCATGTTTGTCTTGTCTATGACTTCCTCTTCTTTTTGTTTTTCATATCTAACATTCCCTTGTTGAAAAAATTCATAGTGCGACCAAAACATCGGCTTGCGCTTGCACCCGATATCTTGGAAATGGATAGATGTTAAAGCAGTGGAAAATATCGACTTTCTATCCGACTAGGAATGACGTTTAAATATTATTACTTCACTTCATCTGTACAAAATAAAACTAGAGAACAAAGCGTTTCTTAAAGAATCTTTCGTATGGTTTGACATTACATTTCGTGCTGATCACAGCACTTCCTTAATTTAAGTCGTTTCCTTGGATCCGCATCATCTCCGAAGGTCCTATGATTTTGCATATGGATTCGACCGCTTTGGATTTTGGTCGTTCTTATGAATTTCGTTGAATATCGGTCGTCTCGATCTTTCACTGAATCCTGGGATGCCTCTGCGAAAGCGTTCCAGTTTTTCGTCACAGGCACTCTCCAGCTTTTATAGGCTAGAAGGAGACCCTCGCAGGTAAGACTCACACAAAATTAGACCCCAGAGCGATGAGAGGCTTTTTTAGTCCGAGCTAAGAGCAAACCAGTGTCTTGCGAGTATTATTGAACATCACCTCCATCGCTTTTCTGTTCACGTCCGAAACTTTGGGCGGTGCTCATTAATTTCAATTAACGCAGAAGAAATCTTTGAACAAATATTACAGGCCGGAGAGTTTTTGAGATTGAAAAACATTTGAATGGATGTTTAAAAGCTCAAAAACGTTTTAGGAAAACATAAACATTACACGTTATCCTATTTTTTTTCTTTTGCCTAATGGGTACTGTTTGCGAATTTCAAGGGGAATTGTCAGAATTTCGTGGCCGTAGACAAAACTTTTTTGTTGCTTAATAAATTTAACTCTCATCAAGAAAAGAAACAATGCTGGAATATAACTCTAATGATGCTGAGATATTTGCAAAACTGCGGACCGTAGGTGTCTGCGGTGGGGAATGAACGTGCTATTATTCTTTCTGGGGAGTAACGCGTTCACCACAACACCATACGGGTCCTTCGTCTCGCCTGTCTCTGAGCTAGTTCTTTTTGGGCTATCCAGATCAATCCCGCTGACGGGTGATTGCTGATGGCCGAAATCGATAGAATCTGCGGTTCGGACTTTTGCAAATATCTCAGCATCATTAGAGTTATATTTCGCAATATAACTTGCCGTTAAAAAGAGTAGGCAGTAAATAATAAGTTAAAAATGTTGGAATACTTGTGAGAGAATATACTGCTTTAAAATGTGGTGAGTTCGATAGACATACTATTAGTCATGTTTCTAGATTAAAACGACGTTAAACAGGAAAAAACAATAAAAATATTCCACAGTGATTGAGTTTCTCAAAAAAAAAAGCATAGAGAAATTACACTTGATGGTGAGGATTCAGCTGGCATTCTATTCTCCGCGGCGGGAACAGCTTTATCGGAACTCTCCACCTAGAAAAGTTTTCCAGTATTTGTAAATCTAGGCATAAAGGCATAAAAAACAAACACTCGGAATAAAAAAGTCGTTGCAAATTGGCAACAAAGACGGAATTTTCGTTTCAACAATGAATGGATGTAATGAATTTCTACAATGTTATTTGCTGGATTTGTCCCTTCAGCAGGAACTCCCATGCTGAGAAGGAGTCTGGCATTTCAATTAGGAAGCTCAGCTAAGAGTAAGCTAATACCAGGAATTACCACCATCCTGGTATCAAACTAGTCGCATGGTGACAAATCCCTCCTTATCCACAGGGGAGGCGACTGCCAGTGGTGGTGACGATTGGGGCAGTCTTTGGATATAATGGCCAAACCAGCAAAACTCCGAAAAAGTGGAAATTATGTTAGGGCCTGTACAACCGGTGAAGACGGTCCATCCAAGCATTCAAGCAAGTATTTGCATACGTCAGGTGGTGAATAAATTTGTAAATCGTTATTAACTCTATCATTTTGGGCCCCAAAAAAGGACACGGCACTTTTTTTAAGCATAAAGTGGAGTGGAACATTCTTCTATCCACTAGTTGATAAAAGGCATTAGCCCAAAACACATCGATGGATATTTACGCTACCCATCACTAAATGTTTTTATTTAACACGATACTAATATACTAAAAAGTACAGCCATTAAATTGTTAAAGCAGGCTTCCTAACATTAAGCTAACACGTGGTTGATAAACTTCTGCTGCGCTTAACAATCCGGATAATGGGCGCCGATTATTACTGAAGAGATTACACTGGCCCCTGGTTTAGTTAAAACATTTAAAATAACCGTAATCTTCATCGGTATGGAAAGCGTCGCTGTTTTGTGTTCCTCTTCTACTGCACGGTTAGTCGCCTCATTGCCTTGGGGAATTCTCTGCGAGAGAGAAGAGGTCGAACTTTTTCTACTCATCCCTCCTCTCGATTCCTAAAATACGAATAACTTACGTTTTTTCTCTTTCTTTGCTTCTCGTATTCTTTTCATTAGGGAAAAAACGTAGGCATAGGAAACAAAATTTAGTTACTCTTTTTACACAGATGTGTCCTGAAACGAGAAAAATGGGCAACCTTGTCTCCAATCTCGATCATTTATTGTTTACTGATAGAGCGATTGCATTTTGAAGCAACAAACTGATTTGTTCTGTGCTCGACAAATCAACTAGCCCAGCATATTTTTTCTATTTTGTCGAGTAATTTCACAGCTAACTAAATGACATTTCATGAAAATAAACTTCAATGTAGCAGCACTTGAAAGAGTAGGGAAGGTGTCTACTTGATATCATTCAGATTGTTTCTTTTCGTAAGCATTTATAGTTTATTTGTTTCTCTGATGAATTTGCAAGCCTAGAAATTCAAGCATTGTGCTTCATTATGTAAAGGAAGACGAAACACCGCTGTTGAACTAGTTCGCAATAAAACTCACACAAGTTCTTCGTGTTTCTATTTTTTATTCTATACAACCCGTTTTTCACCCCTACTCTGCAAATCACAGCACTTCCTCCATTCGATTCGTATCTTCTCATTGATCACACAACGATGGTCTTTCAACTTCTTGCGCGTAGGTTCAGCGGCTGAAAGAAGATTTACGACTTCGTTATGAATGTCATTGATTCCTGGTCGAGTCGATTCTCCCTGGATCGATAGGGCCGCTGAGATACAACGTCCCTAGTTGGATAAGAGGGAGTGAATTTTTTTTCTAAACAACTCTGGTGCCAATTTTCCAAACTCATCGGTGGAGGCTTGGTGAGCTCCAGAAAGGATAGAGCCAGACCCGTTCCCGTGAAGAACGGCATCACAACTAGTACGCCACCTGCCCATTTCTTCAACAAGAAAAGCGCAACAAAAAAGTCTTCCCAAACAATTTCTGTTTTCATTTTTCAGTTTTTTCTTTTTTCGCATTCCTGTTTTGATTATATATCCAATTTCACCGTTCATTTCCACCTTAGCACCAATGATCTGGATAGGTTGGAGGATCTAATAAAATAACGCGACAGAAGATTAAAACAAAGCATTTTGCGATCTAGCACCTTGTGGCTCATGAGAAAGATAGGAATCGGAGATAAGAGACACCATGGAAGTAAGGTAAGTGTTGCTAGGATAACGGAGTAAACAAGTAATGAGAAACTAAATGAAATATAAAAAACTAATAAGGGATAATTATACAAAAGAAAAAGACGAATAGTTCGAGGAAGTGACAACAACAATGGACAGGAGCCAAAAGGTTACTTTAAAACGCCTATCGAGTTTCAGAAACAGTTGTTCTGTGAAATAGTCAATAGTACTAACAAGTTTTTAATTGCTGCACCACAAACAGCGAGAATGTGAGCATGTCTTCGGCAGTATCGCTTCGTTCGCCTCTTTCCCACTGATTTAGGAAGAGTGAGTAGACGTGAAGGAATATCCGAACGGCTTCTACCAGATTGATCAAATTGATTGGCAAGTGAATGGATAAAAATAGAAAAGTTTGCAATTAATAGTGTTATACATAATCGATGGAGATCGAAAAAGTGTCTAGTGCATTACAAAGTCAAAAAATCCAACACGTTACACTCAGCTTAGTTGCAAATTTATCGAGTCCATCAGGAAGTGCATATTTGATTTGTTTATTCACTTGTGATAGGCAATCAACTAAACTGTAAACGTTTTATCACTCACACTTCGGTTTGCTCCAAAGCTTATCAGTCTCATGAAAACGCTTGAATAAGAACTCCCAAGTCCGACTTTCTATTAACCTCGGCATTGATCAAGTAATTTTCTTTGTATTTTTGTTGAGCAAACGCGAGGTGTTATTATTCTTTGTTCACGAATAAGCTGACGTTTCGGCGGATTTCGCCTTCCTCAGAGCCAGGAAAGGACAAGTTGATAGAACCACCCGGCCAGACGCCTCCATAACCAAACAAAGAAACTCCAAACCAAGATTTCAATCACTTTGAACACAGCTTTGCACATCGGCCAAACACCTCCATAACCAAACAAAGAAAACGCTAAACCAAGATTTC